GTACTTTAAGCCCTAAACCCTAAACCCTAATTCCCACGATCCTCCAAGCACCCTAAGCCCTAAGCCTGAACCTCAAAAGAAGAAGTACGAAACCCGAGCACCCTTTAGTGCCCAAAACCCTAAACCCTAAACCCTCAACCCGAAAGCGTAAACCCAAAACCCTAAGAACCCAAAACCCTAAACCCTAAACCCCCTAAACCCCCTAAAGGACCGTATCACAGATTCTGTGATGACCAGGCTCGCTGCTACACGCCGCGGATAAGATTTCGGGCTGCCGCTGCCCCGGAGGGAGCGGGACTTCGAGGGACAGAGGGCCGTAGCTGATCCAAGCATGCCATGGTTCAGGGTTTAGGGGTTTAGGGTTTAGGGTTTAGGGTTCAGGGTTTAGGGTTTAGGAGTTTAGGGTTTAGGGTTTAGCAGGGTTTAAGGTTCAGGGTTTAGGGTTTAGGGTTTAAGTTCTAGACCCCGAGCAATTCAGGCCAGTTGGGAGCGACAGGCCAGGGCTGGGCGAGGAATGGGGAAAGAAGGGTGCTTGGAGGTTCATGGGTAGTTATAAGTGGGATTTTAGAGGCGTACATATGGGTTATAACCCATATTAGAGGACTTATATACCCCACTTATAACTACCCATGAACCTCCAAGTGTCTTCTGTGGGGAAGTGGGGCAGGAGCAAGGGACGAGTCTCAAGTTGAAGAGTCGGGGCCTTGAATACTGTTGATGATATAAGTCCTTAGCTTTACCTCAAGGACCCTAAACTATGGGGAGTTATGGTATATTCCTTATTATGGGTAATGCAGGATTTGTATCATCAACCGTATGGTGGCCGGTAGTTGTGGGTTCTTGCTTGCTTAGCTAGGATTCTTCCGGGGGGAAGACTTCCGAAGGCCGGGGCCTCAGCTTTTCGCTCCCAAGCGAAGCTGCCTCAGTTTAGGGTTTAGGGTTTAGGGTTAGGGTTTAGGGTTTAGGGTTCAAGGTTTAGGGTCTTGGGCTCTGCAGATTCCCTCGCGATGAGCAGCTCCGTTTACCGCGGATGATCGCCGCAGCGCCCCGACTGAGCCGGTTGCGGACGAGGCCGAGCAGTGCCTACCGCAGGAGGAATCCATCACCGGGATGGTCATGGTCCTCCACCTTTTTCCTGTTCTTCCTTGTTTTCTTTGTGCCGAAGAAACCGGCGACAGCCCCTTTCCTGCCTCGGACTATTTCGCCCTCATGCAATGGACGCAGATTCAACGAGGCCAGCTTCGGCGGACGACATCAGGTCCTGCGCAGAGCAGGATGTAGCTCGGGAGCGACACTCCTCTGCAACGTCCTCCAGGGAAGCACTAGCAAGCAATATCCCAACTTGTGCAACATGTTTACTCGTGTGGTCATGAAGGGCAAATCCCTCATTGCTCTCACACAGCTTGCTCGCCTGAGGCTGGCAGATGCCTGCAGAGAAGCGCTTGGCATTCCGATAGCTTTGAAATCTGTCGGTTCACACAAAGACGGGACCTTCTCGCGGAGTGGTAGTGACTATGACTTGTGGATTCTGCCTGTGCCGCAGGAAAGACTGGGAATTTCCTTCAATCAGATGCATGTGGAAGCACTGAGGCACAGCGTTGACTGTCTGTGCTTTGTCAGAGATGTTCGCTCCAAGGACATGAAGATCCAGTTTCAAGTCGTTGAAAGCAAATTTAACAAATCCTTGCCGGTGGAACTCTCCTTCTGTCCAGATGACGCTGAAAGCTTTCCGCACCTTCGGAAGGGCACATCTTTCGCCGAGAACGACGCGAGAATCGACGCGTTTCTCATCGACCATCCGGCAGCCAGGCTGGCACTGAGCGGCCTGAAGCAGCTCTCATCAACTCGGCCCAAAGGGTTTCTGCTGAAAGCCATGGCTTGGAGACTTGCCTGCGAGCCTGGCCGCTGTCGGCTTAGAGACCGAGAAGAACACCAAGCCGAAGCAGCAGACACCCATGTGGAGGCCTTCGATTTTTTCCTCCGCATGCTGGCGGAGCTGAGACACTGGAACACTTCATTGCTGTGCAGTGCAGACTTGTGGCGAGATCTGCGAGAGCACCCGAAACGAGACGAGCACATCAGCCGATTCGAACACTGCGCGGCGGAGATTCTGGCTGGTCAATGGAGGCAGCGTCTGGAGCATCTGGAGAACGACGGCATCGATAGCAGCTATATCAACAACACGAGGGGTGAGCAGGGCAAGCACCCGTCCCGGCACTGCTTTTACCGACCACCACGCAAACTTGCAAAGAGACCCTACAAGTGCTTGTACTGCAATGATTATAACAAGGGAGTGGGTCTTGGACCGGGAGATCGTTGCAGGTGCTGCGGGAAGGTGCAAGTCGAGCATCCGGAATACGAGACCCGGAAGCTGGAAGTGGACGCTTTTATCGCGAGGCAGAGCCAGAGCCCGATCTCTCTGGCAGGGGATTCTCTTAGTCATAGTCCTGTTGGCACGTATTTAAGGTGGCAAAGGTTAGATGGTCCGCGTGGGCCAGTGCCCAAGCCTTCCGTGCCACCCAAAGAGGTCGCACCACTAGAAGTGCGAGAATCGCTAAGCCGAAAGCGCACCCAGCTGCAGCGCAAGCTAGGAAAGATGTTGAGTTTTGTTGTTGAGCCCGTCCCGGGGCAAAAGTTTGTCGCAAGCTTGCTCCACGATGGGCAGACCTTTACAAGCGGAAAGAAGGCATTGCCCGAAGAGGCAAGGCTAGAGGTGCTTGAGCAGGCCATGGCCTATGTGGATGAAAATGGGTTTTTTGCCTCAGATAAAGGGGTGGCGGTGTTTTTCAGGTCTGGTGTTGTTGTGCAACGTGAAATCCGGTGTAGGACCCTTCGTGTGTTGATTGCAGGAGTCAGTATTTTGCAGGAAAGTTTTTCGCATTTTGACTGAAATCTGACTCCAGTGAACCTGGCATCAGGAGCCAACGAACCAAATCTCAGGACCGAGTGCGGCATGTTAACAGCTCTCGCGGTTGTTGTAGCAGGCTTGGCATACCCGCAAGATTTCTGAAAGTTTGTGTGAACCGCGTCCTTGCAACCTGCCTGGCTTCCAGCCTCTGTGGAAGCGCAGGGAGCATCATCCCACAGCTGCACAGTTCCCCAGATCTCTCAATATTCCTTAATTAAGGAATAGGTTTTCAATCATAGTAGGATCCCCACTATGATTTAGCGTAAAAACCCTAAAAACCCTAAACCCTGAACTAAGGGATGTATTCGAAGGCTTGGGTCTCCTTCTGCAGCGAACTTTAGTGGCCCTAGCAGCGCTAATCACCCAAGCCCAAGTCATGCAGTTGCTAAGCCACGAATTCAGGAACCTTATTAAGAAACCCTGGGTCTTCATTAGGGTTCCTTGTCTGAAGCCTACTATTTCGAGGTTCTAGGACCAGGGTTACTTGATCAGGTTCCTACATTAACAGGCCCGGTAAACACATTCCAGTTCAAGCCCCTTCGCAGAGAATCGCAAAATCCGTTGGGGAAGCTCCCAGTAAGTTGCTAGAGATCTCGACAGGCGTAGGGTCTAGGGTGCGAAGCCCATAGTGAGACTTCGAGCCCAAGGCAAACTGTAGTTCCCTTAGCCCCACACCTACAGCCTTGAATCCCACACAGGCCCTACACCCTAAACCCTACACCCTAAACTCAAAAAACACCAAAAAGCATCCCTCAGCCTCTACGCTCTGCACTTTCAGGCCTAAGGCTTTAAACCCATGGCCTTCATGAGCTTAGTGCTCGATCTCACAAAGGAAGTCTCAGGCCATCCATCAAGATCTCAGTATAACTGGGTTTAGGGTTTAGGGTAAGCTTCAGGTGTACCTTGTTCTCCTAAGCCCTGAAACTCCCAGACCTTAAACCCTGAAGCCCCGGAAACCTGCAGCGTAAGCCCCAGAGCACGATGAACTTTCGCAGAAACCGTGTCGTATCCTCATACAACCCTTCTTCCTTAAACCCTGAGGAGCCTGACCGATTTATGGACCCCGACAGAGGCCGAAACACCCCCAAAAGAACAGCACTGCTCACACATATTAGCCCAGAGCCATGCAAGTAAACCCAGAACCATAATATAGCTGCATGAAGCTTGTAGAACACCCTATAAACTCCTAGGAAAGCGTGCGAAAGCCTGATTCAAACAGTACCCAAGGTCCTTCAAAAAGATGACAAAAAGCTTCTGTAATGACATCCTTCAAACCCACGCCAGACCTTGCAAAACATCCAAAATCTATCGAAGGCAGCCTAAAAACCCCAAAAGCACCTTAACATACCCTAACCCTAAACCCTAAACCCGTAAGCCTAAAGCCTAAACCCTAAACCCTCAACCCGTAAGCCCAAAGCCTAAACCCTAAACTCTACACCCTAAACCCTACACCCTACACCCTGCACCCGAAACCCTAAACCCTCAACCCGTAAGCCCAAAGCCTAAACCCTAAACTCTACACCCTAAGCCCTGCACCCGAAACCCTAAGCCCGAAACCCGTAAGCCTGAACCCTAAGCCCCAAGCCCAACCCAGATCCCCAGGCCGCCGGCGGCGCCGCCGCGCGCACCTCCGAGGAGTTGCTTGGAGAGCTCCGTGGGATTCTGACCAAGGCCGCCGGTGCGCCGCTGATTTCTTTCTTTGGGGTTGGGAGGGGTAACCCTAAACTCTAAACCCCTAAACCTAAGCCCTAAACCCCTGGGATTCTCGGTTTGGGTTCAGGGCTCTGATTCCTGCGGTTTTCCGGTAGTTTGTCTTGTGCTTGCAGGGACTGAGCACTAGTAGTCACTGCTTCCTCGACCGACGCAATCCCGAAGTGAGCTCAACATCATCTCTGCCAAGCCCTAAAGCCCTCGACCCGAACCCCCAAAACGCTATTCCTTTGAATGCCCTAAACCCTAAACCCTAAACCCTAAACCCCAACCCAAAGCCCTAAGGAACCTTGCAACTCCAAATCCCCCCGCAATTCCAAGCCCTCCCAGGAGGTCCGTTTTTTTTTTTCAGGCCCAAAGCGCCCGACTACGGACTAAAACCCTGAAGCCCTAAACCCTTAAACCCCTAAAACCCTACAGCCCTAAAGCCCTAAAACCCTAAAACCCTAAACCCCCAAACCCCTAAACCCTAAAACCCTAAACCCCTAAACCCCTAAACGCCCTAAACCCTAACCCTAAGACAACGTTCAGGAAACCTATGAGTCCCTATGAGACCCTGTGAGCCCCCAAGGAAGGCCCGAAAACGTCCGAGGTGTCTTTCCCCTTACATCCGAAGCCTCTAAACTCCAATTCTGGGGTGTGGCGTCTAGGGTTTAGGGCCAATATATAGAGGGGTTCTATGAATTTCTTTTAAAATTTTGTTTTATTTTTACAGGGGGTTCCCTAAGTGTTCACAATACGGTCTCCGCAGGGTTTATGGGGGCTTGGGCTGAGGGCTCACCGTGGTTTGCTTCAGGGAGTGCAAGGCTCACAGGCCCAAAGCTGGCTAGGCTTAGAAGAAGAACCCCAAGCCTGAAAGCAGACTTCATGGAACATGGGTTCAGGGTTTAGACCCCTAAACTCCAAGAATCTTAAATCCCCGAGTCCCTTTTTTTCTGGTCTTGGGGTGCATCTTCTGTTGCCGGCTCACAGCCCCCACACAGGAAGGTGCACTTTTTCCGATGCTAGAGTCCGCTAAGACATGTGCTATGCAACCTTGGTGGTACTTTGTACCTTCTTTGTTCGAGTTTGGGACTGTCTCCGAGAAGAAGTAGGGCCGAGGACGCTTTAGGGCAGTTGGGTTAGGGGTTTAGGGTTTAGGGCCACTTGTAGTCCAGTTCCATGGCCTCCACGCAGCAGGCCACTGCCACTGCGGCTTTGGTTCAGGGCTTCATCTTGACAGATTTTCGGGGCTCCCACACCCTAAACCCTAAACCCCTAGGCCCTAAACCCGAAGCCGTGTGCTAATTCTTTAGCCCAGAAGCCTGTAGCTTGAGCCGGGCAAGTTTAGCCCTAGCCCCGAGCTCACGTGTGCAAGCAGTGCTCTTTTTTTCTCAAAGCATATGAGGGGTCCTATGGTTCAAGGTATATTCAGTGCAAGTTGTAGTCGTCGTCGTAGTAGTAGGGGCAGCAGCAGCAGTGGTGACTTGCGTGGTGGCGGTGCTGGTGGTGGGCAGTGGAAGTACTTCGGCAACATCATGCATCCGTTGCAGCATCGCATTAGCCGCGAAGACGCCAGAAAAATCAATTACAGCACCCGTCCTGGACCCCCCAATAACCTACCCTCATTAGAAGGAAGCCAAGAACAGGTAGGTTATTTGGGGTTAAGGTTTAGATAAGAAGGAACGACTCCGATCACGGCAACGCCCGGCAATAGTGGTGATAGCAAGCACAAGCAGCACGAGTTTCCGAGGAACCAATTCAGGGTTTAAGGTAAGGGTTTAGGGTTTAGAGGGGTTTAGGGGCTTAGTTAGGGTGCCCAAGCTAGGAGACACCTCGCCCCAGTCCACTAAGTAACCCGTCGGCACACGAGCCCGACAAATATCAACCAAAATCTTAGCCAAAAACCCCAAGCCCAAACCCCAACCCGTAAATCCCAAGCCAAAAAATCCCGAAACCATATTCCCAAAACCCCGTTATACCCATTCGCCCAAATATCAACCCGTAAATCCCAAGCCCAAAACCCAAGCCCAAAAACCCAAGCCCAAAACCCTAAGAAAAACACCTTTCCCCATAAATCCCCGCTATTCCTCAACCCGTAAACCAAGCCCAAAACCCAAGAATAACAATAAGCCTTATACTGGGGCAAGGTGTCTCTAATGAAATTTAATATTATATTATAATAATATTAAACTACATTTTATGAATGCATAATAGCATAAAGTTTAGCATATCCAGCTTCTGAATTGGTTTGTGTCTGGGTTGTTTTCAATTCTTTTATATCCCATGTCGGTTTGTCTTTTTGATTTTAAATATGTTTTTGTGTTTGAAGGTGTATGTTTAACCCGTGTCGTGTTATTTCACAATCGCATATGGGACAATGTATTTTGATTTGTCTGTATGCTCTTTTGTCTAAAATACACACTTTACAAACAGCCCTACCTTCATCAAATTCTGTAAGTTCTTTGTTCTTGTTGCACCTTGAACACTTTCGTTTTTCAATTTTCTCCGTATTCATCTCTACATACTAATGCCCCTATCTCTTTAAGCCGTTTTGGGCAAAGTTCTTTCGTGGTTTGGGGCAAGGTGTCTCTAATGAAATTTAATATTATATTATAATAATATTAAACTACATTAAATAGGATGATTTGGTGCTCGTCGCCTACATGCATCAATTACATCAAAATCAATTTTATCTAATCGTTCTTTACTACAAACATACTTATTTCCTTTTTTACAAATATTTAAATCGTGTCCGTATTCTTTAATCATTTTATTACGGCGATATTCATACATATCGATATGTTTCTCATCGCATGTATTATAAAGTTTCATCATCGCGTATTTAATCGGAACAAAGTTTTTAGTCTCGGTTTTTCTCACAGTGTGGTTATTTTCACTACATAATAAGTCTAATACCTTGCATCTAAAACTGTAATCGGGGTCTATCGTATATAAGTTGTCTATTCGTTCAATTATACTATCGTATCTGTTGCATTTATTGCATTTGTATGCGTAAGTATAAATATTATTAGTAATATTGTCTGGTAACTGAAGCTTGTCAAGAATGCAATAATCCTTATGTTTTGTATAATCCTTGCAATTACAACATGTCTTTTCTTCAATCAGTTCTAATTTGTAATCTT